CGGAACGCGCGTGGAAGATCGGTGACGAGAGTAATCCTCAGAAGATCAGGAAACGTAACCGGGAGCATATTCCTAGTAGGAATAGGAATAGAGGATATGGGCTCGAAGCATGTTCTTACAAGGAATAGGAGTGGCGCAGCAGGCGTGCGAGACCTAGTAATTGAAGGACTAGGTGAGCGGGACGGTGCGTGCGCGCGTGCAAGGCAAGGCGCGCGACGCCTAGCTGCACAAGGAGTAGGCAATGCGTAAGTCAGCGCGCGCGGAGGCGGCGTACGTGAGGCGGTCGAAGACATGAGGCGCAAGACTTGAGCTTCTAGAATTGTTTGGAGTGCAAGACAAGTAATTAGGATATCTAGTAGATTTAGGATTTTATGGTAGTAGGATATTTACTTGCCTTAGGATTTAATATTTTATTGTTTTAATAGTTTCCTAGTAAGATTAGCATTAGAGGTAGTTGGCACCTATAAATACCCCATGTACCTTATCATTATTTATGTCTTGAATGTCTTGAATTGAGTATTGAATTGGTGAGCCAATTGAGACGGGAACTTATGTTCTTACGTGTGTTTAAACAAGGCCGTTAGTGCGTGTTTACATACAGTGTCGGAGAGAAGGCCATTAGAGCGTCTTGAAGTCACAGTGTCTAGGAGAAGGCTGATAGTGCATCTGTTAGATACACCTATCGTGGATAAACGAAGGGCCTAGTGTGCGTTTATTCACAACCCATGTATAGATAACAACATGATCCGTCATCATTGGTGCTTTCATTGAGAGGTGCTGATCGTATTATTATCTATCTATCTTTTTTCTTTTTTTGGTTTGCCTTTTGCTGAGGGACCGAATTTCTTTTTTGTTTGGGTCGAAATTTTTGAATTCTTTTATTCGAATTTTTCAATTTTTTTCGTGTCTTAAAAAAAAAGTGTCATCTTGTTAGTCCTTTGTTTGATTTTTGTTTGGTTATTACCTTTTGTTGAGGGGCCGAATTTCTCTTTGTTTTATTTTTTATTTTGGTTCGAATTTTTGTTCGAATTTTTTAGAGTCAAAA